CGGTCTGTCTGGCGTGCCCACGTGCCCTAAAGCAAAAACCCCTCCAAAAAAAAAAAAAAAAGAGTGATTTATGGGGGCCTATCTGTATATATAAAAACAGAAAAACAGATTCATATCTTAGGATCTTCAGTGAAAGTGAGCTGCCTTGGAGACCTTGTCCCGGTTCAACAGTGGTTATTTATTTATTTATTTATTTTTGGAGAGGTTTTTGCTATAGGGCGTGAGCACTTGCCAGAAAGACAGAGAGAGACAGAGAGACAGAAAGCAAGAAATCACCCCCCAGGGGGATTGCCACACTGCAATCACTTCTCCTCCATTGTCTTCTAGGGATCTTGGGCATGCACGCTCACGTGCCTGGCATGAGTTTAAGCCACTGGGTCCAGGACTTGAACCGCGGTAGACAACATGGGAGTCCTGTGACATAGCCATTATGCCAACTGCTGGTGAAGAACAGCGGTTATACCTTATTAACCGAGAATGAGCATGGAGAAGTCTTCATGAAATCTCAGAGATATGTCTTTATAGAACTTTATGCCAAATCACAACATCTATTGCAGGCAGGAATTCATGACAGTTTGTCTTTGAGAAGGAAGTAACTTATTTTTTCTTCATCAGAGTAACTTGCCAGTAAACTCCAGTGAGAGGTTAAATCACAGACACCTTGATAGTATGCTTTGGTGCAAGTAGATAGGAAATTGGAAGGGAAAGCACTCAGAATCATATGTTATATCAAGCAAAAAATATGTGATCACCACTTCTCCAAAGAAGGACCTGAGTCCTTCCTGTTACTTTGCTTTTAACTCTGTCACCAAAGATGTTTAAATTCTGTAGTAGGGTGATATTGGTGGAGACACAGACAAGAGGAGTGACAAAACCATTACTGAGTCTCTGGTCATAGATAGTCTGCTGTCAGCCCTTATTCAGGGATCTTTCAGAACATATAAGTTTGTATTTCACTCTGGTTGGCCAGATACCAGGCCAGATGTGTTAGCTGGAGGTTTGAACCGATATATTTGACTATTGTCCAACATTTAGAAAAAAAGTATACACATTCTATATAGTCCTTGTGCAACACCCTTTCTGTGTTTCTGTTGTAAATATTTCAGACTCAGATTATTTTCCATTTGGTAATTTCACTATCATCTGTGCTCTATTTGGCTCTAACCTCACTTCTTCCAAAGTCTTAATAATAGAGCTATTTTTTTTCCCTGTCTAAAGGGAGACATTCTATAGTTTTTTGTTTTTAATTTATTTTTTTTTTATTCCCAGTGATGAGTTTATTCTGGCTGCTGCTCTAAATGAGATATTAACAAATTGTTCCCTAAGTGTTAGCAGGTGCCTTATCTTCTCTACATTTCAGTAACTCATTCAGATACATGCATACATGGATGATCTGTCTCGTAATGTCACACAGCAGTAACATTCTCCAAGAGAGAAGACACATGTACTCCTTTCCTCAAGCCTGCTATCCATGCCATGATGTTCTTCTTTTTTTTAACCACAGAATGAGAGCAGTTGTTGAAACTGTCACAGGGAATTTATGATGCATTCAAGCACTGCTTGTGTGTTTTGTGTCTTTGTTTAACTATAGATGCAGTTGTTTTGATTGGGAATTCCAACATTTTTGAATCCCTTGAAACAATGACAAAATACTATATCATGAAGTTTTCAGGATCTTTAGTTCGTGGAATAGTATTGCTTCCACTGGGTTAAATAGCAACCTGGATATTTTTGCATCTACTTTAGACTTTCTTTTCTCTCATGTATGTAAGAACAACTTTTTTTTTTTCCTGACTGGTTTTAGCAACACCCTTAGATAATTGTGATTATTAATGATTCACTAGGCACTCATTCATTTTCCTTTCCAAAAAATAATTTGTAATCAGAAATACTGTCTTTTTAGGCTAATGCACACCTTAAAAATTTTAAACATCTTAAGGTGTTTTCTTTGAGTTAATAAAGCCATTTGTATAGGCTAGCTTATTAACAGTTGTGTTTTTTCTTTTTCTTTTTCCTTTTAGAGGAATGAAGAGACTTGCCCAGACCTTCCACTTTCCTGTTCCTGTTCTGAAACCAATGAAATAGCTCTGGGACCAGCAGGCCCACCAGTAAGACCTAACTAGCTTGGCCTTAAATGTTCTTGAATAATATAATTAGTTATCACTTGTATGCCTGATATGTGCTCTTTACTGTACTAAATGGCTGTAACTCACTGAATCTTAGGATAAACTGAAGCAGAGAGGGTGTTAAGGAACTTGACTAATAAAGAGTTTTGGAAAGCTGGCTTTCAAATCCAGGGCCCTGTGACTCCTAGAGATGGTGCTCTTCACTGCTGTTGTAGCATTACAGGCTAACTAAGTCTGGCTGCTTCTCATGGTCAGAGGAACAAGAGTCAGAGGCTAGAGAAGGGAGTTCATTTCTGTAGCTATTTACCAGGAGACAGTCATAAAATTGTCACAGGAATGCAGGTAAATGGGGCAAATGGGTTGTGAAGTAGTGTATCACAAACTGTTTTTGCATGGCAAAAGACACAGTAATTAGTGTGCATCGACAACCCTCAGAATAGGAAAATATTTTTGTAAACTACATATAACGGGCTGATAACCAGAATACGCAAGGAACTCAAGCAGTTGTTCTGAAAAAAGATGATCAACTCTATTAAAAGATGGGAGAATGAATTGAAAAAAACCACTCTCTAAGGATGACATTTGAATAGCCAAAAGGCATATGAAAAAATACTCAACATCCCTCATTGTAAGGGAAATGCAGATCAAAACAACAATGAGATATTACCCATCCCCAGTCAGAATGTCTAAGATTAAAAAAATAAAAAATGATAAGTGATGGCAGGGATGTGGTGAAAGGGGAACTCTCTTACACTGCTGGTGGGAATGTAAATTGGTCCAGTCACTGTGGAGAACAATTTGGAGATTCCTCAAAAATCTACAAATAGAACTACCATATGATCCAGTAATCCCACTCCTTGGTATCTACCTAAAGGACAGAAGAATTCTTAATTGGAAAAGTGCTTCCACATCACTGTTTATTGTGGCACTATTCACAATTGCTAAGACATGGAACCAATCCAAATGCCCATGAACAGATGAATGGATAGAAAAACTGTGGCACACATATTTTATGGAATACTATTCAGCCATTAAAAAAAAAAAGAAAGAAAAAAGAAAAAAGCCCCTGTCTTTTGACAGAAAGTGGATGAATATGGAAGATTTACTGCTGGGTGAAGCAAGCCAGGGTATGAAGGAGAGACATTGTATGTCCCCACTCAATATATACTGAGTGTCTGCACTCTGTGACTGAAACTGATTGACTAAAGGATATAGAAACACAGTAAATGGATGTGAATACCAAATATAGTATATGTGAAAGAGTAGAGTCTGAGAAAAGAGATTTAAAAGAAAAATAGAGAGGTAAAGTATTAATGGGACAAAGAAATGTGGTATTATCTGTTGAAGAAAATTGTATAGTTTTATCAACTGGACTAGGGAGAAATGTTCACATGTTAAAATATTCACTTTGTAAGCTAAATAACGTGATTGAATGTATAAAAGAAACTGAAATAAAAATTTAAAAATAAAATAAATACATAAATAAAAATATTCTACTAAGAAAATTAAATAAAGCAAGAGTGTCAGAAAAAAGACATTGCCATATATGTGTGTGTGTGTGTGTGTGTGTGTGTATCTCAAAAGAAAGAAGAAAGAAAAAGAGGAAAAAACTAGTAGAGCAAAAATTAATGTGGTATTTGTTAAAAATAGTGAATATGGTGAGCCAATTAAAATATTCAAATAGTACATAAACATACATATGGTTTAAACATGTACACACATATATACAAAGACTATATATATATACATAGTATCTTCTAAGTAAAAAAACTACTATTGAATAATAATGTAGATGATGTATTACTTTGGCAGAAACCTTGGGAATGCAAATGACTGAGGTTTCAGAAACACTATCTCTTTGCCTTTTTTCTGTGTTAATAAAGAAAATTAAGAGGCAGCGTAATGGCTACATCGCTGGACTCCTCCATGGCTGACTGTGGTTCAAGTCTGGACCCAGTGGTTTGAAATCACACCAGGCGTGTGTGCATGTGTGCATGTGTGCCAGGGATCCCAGGGGGAGAATGGTCACCCCTCCAGGGGAGTGATTTCTCACTTTCTCTCTCGCCATCTCTCCCTCCAGTGAGTGCACATGCCCTAAGGCAAAAATCTCTACAAAAAAAAAAAAAAAAAGAATAAAAGAAAATTAAATTGTTGCTACTTTCATATACTCTTTACTTTTTAATTGAATAAATTAATTCCACAGTTATGGTATAAAATACGTAATTTTAAGTTAATGGTGTGTTTTATTTCTTTGCTTGCATTTGTTATACCTGTCTTAGATAATGACTGAGTAAATAAGCCCTATTTTTCTTTTCTCCATTTATTTATTTATTTAAAAGAATTTGGCATTGAAAGTGTTCTCAGTCTATGGAATCATCAGCTGCGGGTGGGGGCTGAGACTGAGTGGCAATTTCCAGTTAAGGATCATGATGAACATATATCATTACACGATGTTTGGCCTTTATATGAAATAATAATGACATAATCTACATTATTAAGAACAATGGATTAAATATACTGTTCTGGTGATTCGTCTTTGAGCTAATACTTAACATCTGTTTTCCAGGGTGGTCCAGGAATCCGAGGACCAAAGGGCCAACAGGGTGAACCAGGTCCAAAGGTAATGTGCTCATTCACTTGCTCTCTCTTTCTTTCTTTCATAACTAGTCATCATTTTGCAGTTAAATATGATTGAATTTGTCCTTACAATCTAAAGCTTTTTATGTTTTTATGAAAATTGTCTAGGCTTTCTTTCTTATTTCTAAAGACTTATGCTTTTTAATCAAGAAAATACTTAATCACTGTGTGAAAATCAAGGCTTCTGGGTTAGAAATAAGACTGTCAATATTCTGAGTAATTTAGTCTTGAAAGTAGTTCTTAGGACTTTCCCTCTATCTACCACCTATCTTTAGAGGAACTATGCAGGATCACAACTAAGAAACCAAGGCAATGTCTTAGGTTTTGGATTTCTCCCTTCCTCTGTCCATTAGGTATGATCAAACACACGGCTCTATTTTCCATTCACATTGCCTAAGGACACCAAGTGTGGTGGTTCAGGTTGTATACTGTACAAAGGTACCAGCCAAGCAGACCAAGTCAAGCCAAGTCATGTGAAGGCCTGCATTTTTCTACTTTGCACAAAAGCATCCTAAGGACTGGCAGAAGCCCAGGCACTAATTGAGTTCAGACCTCACCCTATTCTATCTGGCTTTTGGCAAATCTAACGTCTACTGTCTCCATTGACTTGACTTTCTAATTGATTCTTCACATCTGCCCCCCAGAATAATTCCCTTAAAGTCTATGGTGGATTGTCTCATACTCTTCAAAACCCTGCAGCTATAGGCTATTGACTTGAGAATACAATTTACCCTCTTTGGCATGGTATCAAGGTCCTTCATAATTTGATTCTTAGTTTCCTTTGCACCATGTTGCTCCACGTAATCTCCTCTTTATGCATCTTTCTTGATTTACTGCTTTTATATGGTTACTTATTAAATTTGCATAAAATTTATTCATGGAAGAGAGACTACCATAAGACCTTTTACTATAAAATTGGAAACAGATGAAATAAGGTAAGGGAAAATGTGGGCTTAGAAAAGAAGTAAATGAAAAAAGCCTGAAGTTATCTAATCAGGTACTGGCCAATTCAAAAGTCAGACCATGAGATGTCTGTTTTTTGATTATATGAGACAGACTTGATGCCATCTTTTATGGTGCTGTAAGAAAGGCCAGTGGTTGAAGGTCTCTTCTTACACAGGAATGCACTGACTCTTCCTTGGTTTTACCTAAGGGCAGTGCCTCTAAACTCATGTAGGTTCTGCCTCCCTCCTTTCAACACCTTTATCAGTATGGTTGCACTGTTTTCCTAACATTGTCACTGGATGATGGTTCTAATCACAAAGACAAATTAAGTAATAGATATTTGGTATTCCCCCAAAGTATCACCTACTTCTTCTAAGTATCCATACCCACAGTGATGTTACTTATATGGTTATTTCTGTTTGATGACATTGATGAATCATAGATACCAGTATGTAGTGTTTTTGGACAATAGTCTTATTGGACAAAGAATACCCACATGCCCATCAATTTAGACACTGTAGGGACAGATAAACTATACGTTTGGTATAGAAAGCCTTAATATATATTATTTGTAATTTTGTTGTAGCAAATAGATAAGAATTTGGAAGCGTAACCCAACCCCTTTACTGGTTTCCCTAATCATTTTTGTCTCTCTTTCACAGAATAAAATGGTATCACCTACTTTCTGTCCTTTTACTAAGTTCTCAATTCCTCAATAATACATAAGGGATACATTATTAAACTATTTTAAATATTAAGTAATATTTGTAATGACCTTCTTATATTATCCATTAGAAACTAAATCTGGCTCCTTCGTCCTCCGTTTCTTTTATACCATACTTTTTGTAAGAGTACTTATCTGCTGATTATGATGTATATGGTAATGTTCTTGACTAGACTGATATGCAGTGTATTCATGATGGGAAAATTCATTTGGTATGCTGTAATGATACATAGTGATTAAATGTAAAAAAATAAATGAATTTATTTTTAAAATTAAAAAAAAGATTTGAGTTGACAAGAAGAAAAGAGTAAGTATCATTCAGTACTTCTATATCCTCATAATTCTCAACCCATGTATGATTTATTTTTCCCTGGGAATCCCATGAAATTACTTTCATTATACCAATTGTTTGCTACTAGTTCCTTATGTTATGATTTAATTCTTATCTTTCTTGAGCTCTCTCTACTTTTGACACAATTGGACACCTCTCTATTTGAAATTTTCTTCTTTGGTCTTTTCTATATCATGACATCACTCTATCTTCATTCTCCTAATTCTTTGGCTTTTTTATTTCAGATTCTTTCATATATTCTCTTCCTCTCTCTCCTACCTGATTTCCATGTAATTTTTATCATTTTTTTGTTTCACATATCAACACATTCTCCTTAATTATATCATTCATAAACATGTCTTTGACTACTCTAAAGTTATTCTACTTCAGACTCACCTGACCCTAGACAGCTGAAAATCTTGATTTGGTTACCTCCATTCACTTAAATCTTACAGGTCTCAGTTTGCACTTATTTACCCCCATATCACCCCACTATGTTTTTTCTGCTGTATTCTTGGTCCCAAGTAACGGATTCACCAGTCTCACAATTAAGACGATACCCAAGTAGTGGAGGTCTTAATTCAATAAAAGAACAACTTTAATTGGAGTTGTAGAATGAGATGGGGAACAGGTTAAGGATAAGATTCTCTGGATGTACGATTTAGAAGGTGGTGTAACTTTAACTAAACCATAGCAAGGTCTCAACAATACAAGTAAATGTTGCTAAAGTAAAAGGAACACCTGATCCTGAAAAGAAAGTAAATCACATGATGTGGAGCCTCCAGTGTAGTAGACATTGAGGAAATGTCATATGACACAGGATCAAAGTGAGAAAGAAAACAGGGTGGGTGCAAAGTCTTCAATAAATGCAAAGGAGGCTTCTGAGGTAGGTAACTGGCGGTTGTGAAGATGGAGCATATGCAGTTCATCTGAATAGTGTGAACCTTTACAGACCAGGAGGGTGGTCTTGAGGCACTTATACCTTCTGAATCTTTGAATGTATTATGGAGTGTAGGAGGTCTAGTTACTCACATAATTGGCACAGCACTCTTACTTATGGAAGCAAAAGAAAAAAATGAAGTTGAAGCAATCCCTGTGTGTTTACTCTTAGGGTTTACTAATGATGTTTTGCCTGAAAGGTGAGTCATTAGAGGCTTTCTGTCCTGTAATCCTACGAGTATTTCATGTCTTGGGAAACATTTTATAAAGAAATAAAGCAAGAGTGCTCTATGCAGAAATATCTTCTCGGTATCAGAGGGTGTAACTTCTAGGATGACTTTTCTCTCTTGCTTTCCAGGGACCAGATGGCCCTCGGGGTGAAACAGGCCCTCCAGGACCTCAAGGTCCCCCTGGGCCTCAAGGACCAAGTGGTCTGTCCATTCAAGGAATGCCTGTGAGTTCTGTGCAACCATTCAGATGGGTTTTATTGTTACCACGTTTCTATGAGGTGACAAAGAATGAACTTTTGTTTTCTGTGCCTTAATAATGAGCCGCAGTTCCTTTGAAAGTAATGATTGAGAGGCCTTTATTAGCCATAAGCTTAGCTAATGTTTTGTTCAATTATGTGGCTCTTTGAACAAATAAGTACATATTCAGGAAGTATGTATATTGTAAGTATTGTGTCTATAGAAGAAAAACAGAGCTTAACATGTAAGGCCTTTCTTTTTTTTTGTCTAACTCTTTAATGGATGTGATAACATCTAGAAAGTAACAAATGCTATATAAATTTAAGTTACTCATTATTTATTTTATGTAGTAATTGAGGATGTAGATGATGAAAGTCCCTTGTTCATGATCCTTATGTAAACTGGTATCAAAGCATTGAGTGACAGTGTTAGATTTTAGATGGTATACTTTGTACAGCTTCATATTAATGAAAAGCTACTTTACATCATTGAAAAAATTAATTTTATTCACTGATCTTCATTAATCTTACCATAGGGATTTAGAATTAAAAAAATTAAATCGTGGGACAAACAGATGGCATAATGGCTACATTGCTGGACTTTAATGTAGTGTACCATGGTTCAAGTCTCAGACCTGGCAACTTAAAATTCACCCTGGGCATGTGTGCATGTGTGCCCAAAATCCCAAGAGGAGAATAGAGGAGAAGGGATTGCAGCATGGTCATCCCCCTGGGGAGTGATTTCTCGCTTTCTGTCTCTCTTTGTTTCTCCAACGAGTGCACGCAAAAAGTATAGCAAAAATTCTCTTAAAAAATAAATTAACGGAACTAGCAGACTGCATAGTGGTTACACTGCCAGACTCCCACATGACCCACCATGGTTTGAGTCCCGGACCCACAAGCTTCAAAATCATGCCATGCATGCCCACAATCCCAGGAGGAGAATGAAAGAGAAGGACTTGTGACATGGCCATCCCCCTAGGGGGTGAATTGTAATTTTCCTCTCACTGTATCTCTTTGTCTCTGGCAAGTGCACATGCCCTAAAGCAAAAGCCTATAAAATAAAGTGATCTAATATTTGAGGCAACTAGAATCTTTTAAGCTTGTTAGCAATCCTTTTACCTGTATGATTATCTTTCTGAGTTTTGCCTTACAGTGCTATTTTTATGTTTTAGGAGGCATTAATATATCAACTTATCTAATTGCTACTGCTAAAAGTAAACATTCACTGGGGTCTCACTATATGTCAGATTCTGTGCTGCCTTTCCTTTCTTATATTTCAGTCTTATATTTTTCTACCCAAAGCAAAACAAAAATATAGGTATGAGATTTGAAAACCTAAACCACAAATGATACTTTAATGTTTAACTCTCTCTTGCCATGTGTTTACAGCACCAGCTTAGCCATTTTGCACTGTATATTCCATTTTAAACAATTTTGTATATAACCATTTAGCTCCATAGGACTGTTTAGATAAATGGGATAGCATATGTGAGGAGGAAATATGCTGTTAGCATATTTCTGGCATCTGTTTAGATGTTAGATGAAAGCAATTTAATGTGAACGAGTTGGCTGTCAGAGGGGGAAAGAATAGACTATGGATTTACTCACATAAACTTGACTCTGTGTACTTTTGGATATTCAGGGAATGCCAGGTGAAAAAGGAGAGAAAGGAGATACCGGCCTTCCTGGTCCACAGGTATTATATCTATTTTTATTGCTTTCAGTTCTAGGGTTCTGTAAAGAAAAAAAGTATTGTAGTTTCTGAAGTTATCTTTAATTTTGGCACTAAGTGGTTTCCATATTAAAGATTGTTTGTGTGTATTTATCTATTTACCTTAAGCCATTTCTGAGAGCCACAGTGATTCTCCAGGGCAAGCTTGGGCGGGGAACAACAGTCTTTTCTCATGAATAACTTACGGGTCTGAATTCTAAGTCACAAAGTGTTCTCCATTATGCTGCTAGGTTTGGAGACCTTGATCTATTTCAGGAAAGATGACTTATGGCTGTGACACTGACTCTTTTTTATTCTTGTTCTATCTAGGGTGTCCCAGGAGGAATTGGTTCACCTGGTCGTGATGGAGCACCAGGCCAGAGGGTAAGGACTTAGCTAAAGTTGGTTCTTAGCAAAATAGACTTCCTACCAAGTCACTCTTTGTTGCCGGCAGTTTTGGGTTTGGGGTTTCTCATATCAATCTATGCTGCATCAATTTCCCTTGATTAATGTCTTCGACGTTCATTATTTTTACCGAAATCTTGGAACTGTCAAACCTTTCCCAATTAACAGCATACTTTTCTGAATGCTCTCATAACCTGAATATAGTTTGCACTGGTTATATGCATTGATTTAGTAGATATTTCAGATCTTTCAAATCTTTTTTAAAAATTAAGTTATTTTACATTTATTTACTGAACACCATCACAACATACAAAATGCGATTTCCCATACAAAATACACTGTACAGTGGCTTAATCATACATGTTATCATCAACAAATAATTTTTCATTTCTTGTTTCTTATATATATATTTTCCTCCCTATTTCTTAAGACATAAACCTAAGGGAAATTAAGAATCACATGAATTAGAATTTTAATAGAATGGCTATCTATAGTATGACTTACATAGAAATCTTCATTTATTTAGTACATTTGAAATACCAAGTTGTGTTTTTTTTTTAAGTTTGTTTATTTCATAAGAGGGGAGAAGGGAAAGAAAGTGTCACCCTTGGTACCGTCTTCATGCTACAATCCTCCCCCAGACCTGCAACTGGCCAAGATCACATTCAGGCTGATCCAGGTGTCAAGCCTTCCGATAGGGCTCCAGCATTGCACAGCAGCACCCCTATAGTGACTGTGCTACCACAGCTGAGCCCAATTATCTATCCTAATTTGTCCAAGTGGACAGCAATAAAACAAAGTTGAAAGATGATCAGGAGCAGCGTAAGTTAACATTTGCTGTTTGTTTAAGGCAATGAGTTTTTATAGAGCCATGTTCAAAATTCTTGTTCTTCAAGAGTTTATATAGTTTATTAGGACAAATTATAACTAAGTAAGAAACTATATGACATACTTCAATGGGGCAAAGCCTTGTGAGAACACAAAGACTGCATCACCAAATCTGACTTGGAGAGTCGGGGAAGTTCTTCCCAGAGTAGATTATCACTAGCTGGGCTGAGTCTTGATTGAAAGATGGATGTTAGTTCACCAGATGAATGAGGAAAGGATAGCTATTGTAAGCAGAAAGAACTGCATGTATGAAGGACTGGAGGTGAAGAGAAGGTAGAGCATTTCCAATATTGTACATAGTTCAGTATGGTGAGCGATTAGAGTACAGTGTGTACGTGTATTTGCAAGTGTGTGCAGATACATACACACTTGAGTGTGGGGAAATTTTTAAGAAATGAAGCTGAACAGGTAAACACAAGTTCACTTAAATCATTTATTTTTTAGGCTAAGGATTTCGAACTTTAATATGAAGGAAAATAGAAATTCAATAAAATTTTAGGTAGGGAAATATAGATTAGTCTTCAGTTTTTCTGAAGAGTTAAGCAACCACTTACATCCAGTCCAGCAAAGGGTGATGTATTTGGCATTGACTAGTACTTTTAATACAACTTACCCATTAGCTTAACAAACAATTACCTAGAAAATTTCTCTACTCAAGCAAGACCTGCCTTTAGTTCAGAGTAACTATACCACGCAAGAATAAGAAAATTCTTCTTTCTGTAGAAGTTTAAATGTTGGACCTTAAATCCCTTCTATGTATTAAAAAAAAAAGAAAAAGAGAAAGAAAAAGAAAGCACCAAACTTCCATTTTCTTAAAATCTCAGTACAGTCTCTGTTCACCAAATGCAATTACTCAGTTTGTAAAATGTATTTTGGTAAATGTATCTAAAGAAGGCATTCTGTAAAAGCTAGATTTACATAGGGTTCTTGTACATGTGGAAGGAGAGTCTAGAAGTATTTATATGTTTTGGCAAAGGGATTAGGCTAGGATCCTGTGTGGTTACACACCTAGATTCCTTCGTGATTTCTGAAGTCCTAAAAATGGCAATTCTAAAGATTTAGTTTAGTGAGTTTATTTGATTTATCTATGCATGGAGCCCAGTCTTGGCAAAGAACTCCCAAATCAAACATGTTGGATTAGTGTTTGGATTATTTGGTTTTAGAATTATTTCTTTTAAAACCAATATACCCACACAGACTTTTTATAAATATTTTACTATTGCTCCAAACATGTATTCCTCTATAGGATTAAAATCTCAGCACTGCAATAAAGTGATAAGGTATCTGTGCTTAGATTTAATTGTCCTAGTTTTTTTCTTTTTTTTCCAATGTGCAAATGAACTTTCAAGGTGTGTCTGATTCCTTCTTTGAAAAATTCTTGGATGGAAATAGACTCATTTTATAAACTGGTTTTCAGAGGATGCTCATTCTTTATAAGTCATATTTTAAAAAGAAAGAAAAAGAGAAGAAAGAAAGAAGAAGAAAGAAAAGGAAGGAAGGAAGGAAGGAAGGAAGGAAGGAAGGAAGGAAGGAAGGAAGGAAGGAAGGAAACTGGCCAACCCATGACCTGGCAGTTAAGGTAGTTGGATTCCACATGACCCACCATGCAATTCGTGTCCTAGACCTGGGGCCTTGATAAACATGCCAGGCACATGTGTGTGTGTGCTCAAAATCCCACTGGGATGGAGAAATGGAAGATAATGGATTGTAGTATGACTATGTCCCATGGGGTGCCTTATAGCTTTCCTTCTCTCCACACTTTCTGGAAAATTGAAAGACAAAAGAAAACAGTGCATGATTCCTGTGATGATTTTGATTACTGAGACCCTTTAAACCTACAAGGAAACCCACGGAGGGTCTCCCCTATTAGGGTGGTTTTAGAAATGATATTTGGGGACAATACATTTCAGTGTGCAATTCAAGGGGATACCATTCACATAGGATAAAACATAATGGTGGCCCTGGCACTGTATATCATGACTTCTCTCCTTGAACAAGTCATATCTAAATTGAACCCATACAGTGTGCCATGTACTATACTAAGCTTTGAAAGAGGTGTTATTTATTGCCTGCAGAAAAAAGTCCAGAAAGGAGAGAATTTCCATAGCCAAAGGAGGCAATTTGTAGACTTTCTACCTGAAAGAAATACAGGGGCGGGGGGAAGAGGGTTGTGAAGGACATGACTGTTCCTCTCCCCAGAAAAACAAATGGGTTTTCCCAGAGACTGTAGAGAAGGGAGGAAGGAAGGAAGGAAGGAAGGAAGGAAGGAAGGAAGGAAGGAAGGAAGGTGAAAATTGAGTTATTTATTTAGGTTGCTCCAATCTGTTTAGTTAAAGAATCAATTACATACCCAGAGACTGTAGAGAAGGGAGGAAGGAAGGAAGGAAGGAAGGAAGGAAGGAAGGAAGGAAGGAAGGAAGGAAGGAAGGTGAAAATTGAGTTATTTATTTAGGTTGCTCCAATCTGTTTAGTTAAAGAATCAATTACATAGTTACTTAGTAGCATTGTAAGATAGGTCCAGATCTAACTTTAATGATGGTAGACAGATCTAGGATGAGTACCCTAGAAGATAAGCCCTACCAGAGGCCAGATCTCTCTGGTTCAGCTTTGAGAGAGGAGGGGCTGCTTAAAAAGCGCTAAAGACAAAAACTGCACCAATATTTCTGCTCTTCCTTGGGTCATCCAAAAAAGGCAAAATTGCGTATAGAAGAAATAAATATCAACAGCAATGACACCCATGCCATAGAAAAAAACTAACAGCAAATACAGAGTGACCAACTTGCTGTTGAAATGACCAAGAAACCCCTTTGAAGATTCTTCCTGCTCAGGCTTGACTGTCCAGGAAATGAAGAAGGCAAAAGTAATTTTCCCCCTTCACTGAGTACTTAAGTCACTTAATGTTAGTGTGCCTTCCTTTTCATTTGGATGGAGTAAAGTCCACTCTAGGTAAAACAGGAGGAAATCGCCATGAATACTTGTGACAATGTCCAATCATTGCTTCCCATTTTTTGGAGAGTCTTGAGAGCAGATGAATGAGGTATGTTGTCAGAGTGGTAGGCTCTTAGTTACTGTTCATTCTTCTTTCTTTTTACTCTTTTATTATTTTTATTTATTTTTCAAAGATTTTTGGATTAGGGCATGTGCTCTGGCCAGAGAGAGAGAGACAGAGACAGTGAGAGGGAAAGTGTGGAGAAATCACTCCCCAGGGAGGATGGCTATGCTGCTGTCCCTTCTCCTCCACTCTCCTGCCAGGATTTTGGGCACACAAGCATACATGCCCTGGGTGATTTTCAAGATAACAGGTCTTGGATGTGAATTGCAGTCAGCTATTCGAGAGCCCAGTGACATAACTGCAAAGCCATCAGCTGGCCCCTTACTCTGGTATTATTGATAGCTAAGAACCCACCGCCCAAACCTAGAATTATCACCCTGACTGTTTGTGTAGGGCAAGGTTAGCACTTCTTTCTTAAACCTGGTGCCAACATTACCTATGAATTTAGTCTGGAAGAAAGGAAGAGCTTAACAAATCATAAAAAGGAGACGATGAAACATCTCTTCTAAGGTTTCTAGCTTATTCTGGCTTTTCCTGAGGTGAATCTTTTAGAGGCAACTCTTATTCAACTCTGGGTGGGAGGCCATGAGCAAGTCCAACAAAAGCTGGACTTCTTCCCTTGAACAGGCTTCAGCCTCTGACTGGAAAGCCAAGCGAGCACAGTGCAGAACCACACTTAACAAGCAGCAGTGCAAGTTCAGAATTAACACCTAAATGCACTTCAGCATCCAGTTTTTATTGTGAGCCATTCCAACTAAAACCATTCTGGTCTCATGCTTGCTTCCAGGATAAATCTTGTCACCTCTCTCTCGTCTCCTTCCTCTTCTTGGTGTCAATGGCCTCAGAGCTTATCCTGTGATCTTTGAGCTCCTCTGATGGTCAGTGGATTTCTAGCCCCTACCCTAGACAAACAGAGAAACTAGTAATGATAGGCAAGAAAGAATATATTGGGTCATTGGAAAAATAGGTCATGACCTATTTTTCTGTTTCTATGCAGACACACATCATGACTTTTCTGACGACCCAATATATAGTGAGA